AGGCAGTGAAGGACAGGAAGGCCTGGCGCAATATGGTTCATGGGGTCACGAAGAGTCGGACACGACTTAACGACTAAACAACAAATATCCCACCTTTCATTTGGGAACTCAAGGTGGCACATATATTTTGCTCTCCTATTTTTCCCTCAACAACCAAACCTGTAAGGTAGGTGGGGCTGAGAGAATGAGTGACTGAGCCAGAGTCACCTGGTGAGCTTCTGGGTCTCCCTCCTCCTAGTCAAATACCTTGACCACTCTACCATAGTGGCTTTCAAATTCCTGAGCACACAGAATTGCTTAATTAAAACTCTGTATATGGAGTGCGTTATGGAGAAAGAGCATGGTCTATTCATAGGAAGTTTGTTAAAATTTAGTATTACTCATATAAAGTACATTGCCTAATGCTCTTTATGCCTCAGCCCTGTGGTTCTAAGTGAATCAGATGCCCTGCTTCAACTGAAAGAACTTTGTGTTCACATGTGTAATTTGATTATTCAGTTGACCCTTTGTCTGGGTTTCTTGGCATAATAAAAAGTAAGGTTTTTTTGAGTTGAGTTCAACTCTTGGTGATTTCATGGACATGCCATGGCTCTTTGCTGGATGTGTGTATCAAAATCTGCAAGATGGCAGAGACAGCATTGTGATAATCATCTTCTAGATTTTGGCACCACACACATGGATAGCTGGACACTTGTGGACATGTCCATGTACTAAAGCATTGAACCACAAACTAATCAAACAGGCCAGATTCACGCACTATGATAAGATAAGGTTAAAACTAAACAGCCTAGTATGTTGTATGAATATAGCCATTAGGGCTTTCATTGATCTGATTAAGTATGTTGCACAATCCTGGTCAATATGAAGTAGGGCAAGATACAGTATGTGTACTGTGGGATAAGAGGAAGGACTCCTTGAAAGCTAACATGAGATCAAGAATATGCAGTGTGGCAAAAAAGCAAAGAAATATGGCTGCCTTAATAAGGCAGATCATGCTTTCCTTGGGAGCTGTGACTGGGGCCTCCATCCAGGTGATGAAGATGCCTGACTTCAGTCAAGACTGAATGACTAGACTCAAGTTCTTTCCAACTGTTTGGGGTTCCTGTGATTGGTGATCTGTAATTAAATATCCTAGACAGCCTTTCAACATTATGTTAAACAATCTGATTGATGTCTCAGTATCTTAATGTATCCTTTACAACTTGGACTTTCATATTTACAGAGAAGATGAGCTTTTCAGTAAAGAGGTATTGAAAGTTTGACTACTTCTTCTTTTAATGTACCTTTTTGAAAGTGGATTTTCAGCACTTACTACACCCACAATAAAAGCTCAAAAGAGGCTGAAAGTTATGCCCATTTATTTAAAATCACTCCAGGTGTTGATGAAAGATCTCATTAGCTGCAAGATCATGCACCCAATTAAGTATTTTTATTCAATGTATCAAATATAAGAAGGAAAAAGAATATTACTAAAACATGTTCTATTCCAATATTTATATCTTTCTTTAAAAAAAAAAGGCATGAGTGTTCTACATATAGACTATATAGATAGATAGCTTGGTGTTGATGATCTTAAAAATTTGAGAAACACATTATTCTGAATGAAATCTTTGATTACATGAAATGCCCCATTTTACCACTAAAATCCATCTATATTCTTTTCAGTTAAATTCCTGTAATAACTAATTAGAATCCAGGTGATTATATATGTCTCTCCCTTGACCTTGCTTATCCTCTGATAATACACGCACCACTTATTGTTTTCAACTCTTTTCTGGTAGTAAGTTCTGTTTAGTCTTTTCAAATCTCTTATCAGCAACAGAATGACTGTTGAAGGAAAGTTGCATTGATGATTCAATAAAGTGAATGCAGTCTTGAGTTGGCATATAGGTGTGTCCCTTATGTCTGTCCTGCAAAGGGGACAAAAGCGAGTCACAGTATGTGAGATCATGAGTGACATACACAAACAGTTCCTCATACCCCTGGCATCAGAAGCCAAAACTTGCTAGCAAAACACATCCTGTTTGCAGAGTTCTGATCATACGAGATTTATAGAAAGCCTCTAGATCCTGCAGCTTGGCATATTGCCATACTTTGGGTTTTTTGTTTTTTTGTTTTTTAATTTTTGAAGCCATTTGGCAGCCTCTGGAAGAGGTACTGAGCTTGTATCGGGAACTATGATCTACTAATTCTCAAAGCTGTAATTTGACACACAAGCATTGCAAAAGGACATTCTAATGGATGGTACAGCTTTTTGGGATGCGGGTAGGAATCTGAAAGGACATTCTAGTCCCCAGTTGTTCGCTTCCCATTCTGCACACTGCAAGTTCTTGCTGCTGCTAAATCAGTGGATTAGGTTATAGCTGCCTCAAACTCTGATACCACTGTTCAGGTAGATGAAGGTCTTGCTTTCACAAGCAAGACCACAAGTTATCAAAGTTGCAGAACTATCCATCGATTCTAGAATGGAGTTGCCTGCAGTTTTAAATTGTGATGTCCTAGTCACTGTGCTATCCAAGGTTCAGTGATCTACAGCAGGAAGCTGGCTTATCTCGTAGCTCTGTAATACAGGTCCCCTCTGGTTCCTTGAAGGCAGAAGGCAAATGGGCTGTGATAAAATCACGTAGTTTGATATCTGAACCTTGGCAAAGTCACTTTGGCTTTTATGTATTGTAAAGCAGCTTATCTGTTGTTGCCATGCTAGTACCATATCTGTGGCTGTTATTAGGCCTCAGCATTGAAGCCTTCCCCCCACCCCAAAGGCCAGTTACTGAGTTTGCTTTATGAATTGTAATGTTCTTGATGTAACACTTAATTCAAGTGAGTTAGTATTTATTTCAAAGTAACCCCTTTGATCCTCTGTCAGCAGAATTTTCAGACTGAGGTGCAAACAAATCTATCAGTTTTAACTTGAATAATAGTCCCATTTAAAAAGTGCTACTATTATATTAAAAGTAAAGGTCTCCGAAAAGCAAATAATTTTACTTTAAATATAGCTGGCTTGGGACATTAGCATTCACAGTCTGGGGAAAGAAGTTCACTTGACCGACTAGGAGTATAGAACTAAAATGAAAATTGGTTGCACGATGTTGGGGGAAAAAGTGGGTTGTTGGCAGTAAGAGAAGTCAATCCATAACATTACAGTATAGCAAATGTTATTTCCAACCTTAGAATTAACTATGGAGGAAAGGTAGCACAAGTACAAGAAGGGCAGCAGATAAAACCAGTACGTCCTCTCCTGCTAGGTCTGGGTTTTGAAAAATTTAGGTCCTGTTTCTAAGTGATGACCTGACAATCCCATTTTAAAACCTTGTCAACAAAGAGTTTGTATGGCATGAATGTTGCACACCATACATTGCTAATTAGTTATGCTACTAATCTCATCCCCAGTACTATTTTCTGCAAGGGTACCAATGTTTCTTTTTTCCTATAAATCTTCATCAATACACAGCTATCAAATACTCATAGAATTTGGTTTTGTTCTGAGTCAACAAATCAGGCTGTTAAAGTTACCATTTTGAACCTCTCCTTGTGTTGCAAACTGTGTGTTTAGCCATTGGTTCTCAAATGTTCATTTCTGATTCTCCTCTCTCTTTAGGTGAGAGAAACTGAGATTATGGACCCACAACTGAACATAGAGGAATTTGCATCTGGTGACTTGCCAGATGATGAAGATGCAAGGTCGGATTTAACAATTGATTATGACGGTTATGAGGTTTCAGGTTCAGGAGATGAAGAAGGTAGGTCTTGCTCAGAACTATCTCATGGTCAAATTCATATTGTGGTGTTTTTTTTTTGCTAACTATGTATCAATGGGAATGGTGCTTCAGCATGTGGTAGACCATAGTTAATAAAACTGAGGTTACATTTCCATTCAGTCTTACTGTAGTGCTGTTTACTTTGCTGAATATAATTTGTCTGAAAGATTTAAGATGATAGTATTGAATTTCTTGGCTTTGACCTGGAAATGTATCTATGCAAAATGGTCTCTAAGCTGGGTGGAGTTGAGGGCTATTGGAGGACTTATTGCTTCATATTTTCTGAATATCTAAATGTAACCCACCCGGTTCACATATTTAACTTGTAATACTTCCAAGTGCCCTTGCTTTCCACATGCCTAACATTGGGAGAGTCCTGCATTGTCTGAATTTTCTAAATCACCCTTCAAGGAAACTTGTTATCTTCTGTTTCAATTGAATACACTTTTTAACACTCTTTTTGGGGGCATGGTTTTTGACACTCTATTGTAATATCACTGTTTTTCGAAAAGGCTTTTTTCTCCTTCTCTGTTTTTACTTTCTGTTTGTAACTAGCCCATAATCTGGTTTTGGTTGTTCCCAAATTCTCAACACAAACTCCATGCAACAATTCATTGCCCTCATGTACATGGTGTTCTCAAGAAAAACAAGCTCTGAAACTAGCACACTACAAGTTGAGACAAATCCGGTGGTTAACGTGAGCCAAGGACTCATACCAACCTCAAGAAATGGGTGTTTTAAAAAATAGCAGTTCCTCTGAAAGGCAAACCAAACTATATTCTGAATGACTTGTAATTCAGGTCTTTGTAACTGGTTGCAAGATCTAGTGAGACAGAAGTAGTGATAGAGGAATGTGCATGATCTGATGCAAACTGTAACCAAAGAACTTGAGATCAAGGTAATGATTGTTTGAAATGCTGCATTTTATAGTTCGGATTTTAGTAAGGATGAAATATTATGTTTCCTTTCCTATAGGCTATACGGATATGGAGGATACATTGTCTTCTGCCACCAATAGTTCTGTGGTAGGTATTCCCATTTGAAATTTAGCCTCTGAAGTAGCTGTTCATTTGGTTTTCTACCTATCACAATGAATGATACACAGAAAATGAGAAGTGCTGTGATAGATCTATGTATCCTTAGCTGCATTAATAGCAGCAGCATGTTCAAATCATGGGAGGTAATAATTCACTTTTACCCTGCACTGTTAGATTATATTTGGAGTACTGTGTCTAGTTCTGGGCCCTACACTTGAAAAGGAACATGGAGAAGCTAGAGCAGGGTCAAAGGAGAGCTATCTGAGTCATAAGGGGTTGGAAACCAAACCCTGTGAGGAAAGTTAAAGGAGATGGCATGTTTCATTTACAGAAGAAAAACCTGAAAGCAGTTTACAAATGTATAAAGAAAGGTCGGTCCCATGCAAGAGGAGGCAGCTTGGTTCTCTGCTAAAATGAAGGGCAGGGCAAGGGCCAATGTATTGAAATTAAAGAATGGAAATCTACATGGATTATTTGGAAAAACGTCCTGACAGAAAATGTAGTTAAGCAATAGAACAGTCTGCCTAGAACAGTAGTGAACTTCTCTGGGGCTGCTGTTGGATAGCCATGGTTTAATGCATTATTTTTCAAAGTTGGCAACTTTAAGATGTTTAGACTTCAACTCTGAGAATTCCCCCGCCAGCATGTTGGCTGGGAAGTTCTAGAAATTGAAGTCCACATATCTTAAAGTTGCCAACTTTGAAATACGCTGGTTTAGTGGATTCCGACACTAATGCAGTTGGTTTAGATGACCTGTAAGGCATACATTCTGGGATTCTATGGTTCATATCTGTGTATACTGCAGACTTCTGAATCTCTCCCACTCTTAAAATTTAAAAAAAAAAGTGTGGAGGGCCAATGATTTGCATTGTACAGGAAAATGGTACAGTAGAAACCTTGGTAGTATTACTGATGTCCACAGATATTGCATGACACTTGTTACATGCCTACTAATTCCAGTGTGGAGCTGTTTTTTACTCACTGATTTTTGGGTCAGCCTCAGTATACTGCCTCCAGATGTGTGCTCACCCCTAATATGAACACTTGGGGTAAGGGGGGAGAACTGAAGTCTCTGCTCAACAGCACCATTTTCATATTGCACTATTGCCCTCAATTGTACATTAAAGGTAGGATTCATGTTCTTCTCTTTACCAGGTTTCCATGGACAACTATATTCCTGACTTCAAAAAAGATACCAAGGATGAAAGTGAACCAGCTGTGATAGACAATGAGATTATTGTTCCTAAAAAAACACTTCCTGAAGGAGAAGACCTGTCCAACAAGATCTCAATGGCCAGCACAGCCACTGGGAGCATCTTTGAGAGAACAGAAGTGCTTGCAGGTAACCACCGTTTTGATGGATGGATAAACTTGTCTCTCCATGACAAAGGAAGAGATCATGCTTTCTGAAGCAAAGCTTTTTATCAAGATTGTCATATACAGATGCAAGATGCAATATTGCAATGCTAGTTTTAATCTTTTAAAAAACTAGAATTATTTGGTCAGTGGTTTAAAATTACTTTTTCCCAGCCTGGAGCTCTTCAGCTATGCTGAACTTCAGCTTCCTTAATTCCCAGTCTCCATAGCTATTCTTTTAATAAACAGTATGTGTATGAGTAGTTAGCACATTTAAGAACAGCTCTAAGAAATTTGGTGCTTAAACCAGAAGGGACATGTTTGATTATCAGATGATTTTAGTTTTGATTACATTCAAGTAAAGTTTTTTTCCTCCACTATTGATGACCCATGAACTTCACAAGGTACAGAAATGAGTTTATTGATGGAATTGCAGTGTGACTGGAAGCTTGTATCAGCAGGATTAGCTGCTCTGTTACCTCCAGGAAAGCTACTGTATCTGCATAGTGGCTTATATTGATTGGTTTTGGATACATGAACTGTACTCTGGAAGTAGGAGTACAAGTGATGCATACAAGTCATAGGCAGTTCATGTCCATACATAAGAGAACATGCAGCCCTCTTGACTGGTGGATGGAGGTTTTGGAATACTGAAGTTGTGGCCATATCCTCCATTTCCTCCTGATGCCAGGATAATTCTGGAAGACATGACTTGCAGTATAATGACCGTACAGACAGTAACCCAGTGTCTTTCCCCAGCCCCCAATATTTAATATGATTTGCTGAATGGCTATGGAAGTGATTGCACCTAGTTCTTAAGGCTAGATGAAGAAAGATTTTTCATTTCCTGTCTTGACTAGAAGCTTTCCAGTATCACTGTCCAGGCATCCATTGTTCAGCCAGAAGTGTTATGGTAGCTTTGCTGCCTTTATTTGTTTTCTTTTAGGGTAAACTCCAGTTTTATATCAGTAGATGATATTTATTCAGAGTCTGAGTCAAACCTAAAGCAGAATAGAAAGTGGTTCCCAGTAGCTTTTTCCAAATCAGCAGTGGGAAAGTTAGACAGAAATTGCACGACAGGACAGAAGCTGGATGTAAATGCAGAGCTTTTCAAGTTTCCAGGGCACTTATTCCACCTTCACCTTTCTCTTTCTCTCTTTTCCCCATCTCCTCCCACTTCAGCTCTTATTGCAGGTGGAGCAGTTGGCCTCTTGTTCGCTGTCTTCCTGATCCTCCTCCTCATCTACCGCATGAAGAAGAAGGATGAGGGTAGTTATGACCTTGGCAAGAAGCCCATCTACAAGAAAGCTCCCACAAATGAATTCTACGCCTAAGGCTCGCCACTGTTTTATATACCAACTTGGGAGGCAGAAATAGACTTTGTAAAAAAAAATTAAAAAAAAAAAAAGCATTTGGACCATGGACAAAAGGCTCTGAAACAAATACTCTTTTGGATCTAATGTCAAACTGTTGTTTTTTTTTAAAAAAACCCTCCTTTCTGACCCTTCCCACTAACTAGTAAGGATATAAAATAAATAAAAAAAGCAGAATCCTAGGATGGGGAAGGGAAACCCACGTGGAGTAGTATGTGCTTTAATATGCAAAGGAAATTTGCTGAGTTTTATATTTGGGTGAAGGGGGTTGTGTATGAAACTCTTGCATTTGGTTGCAGTTCTTCAGCTTACCTTGTTTTACAGAAGGTGTCAAGAGGGCTGCCCCATAGCCAGCTTAGGGATCACAAAAAATGTGACCAGCCACTGTCATTTTTTTTCTTAAATAAAGAACTTATTTATGAAAGTTCCTACACTACGTACACCGTAAATTAGCCTGGGTCACGAGCAAATTGTTTAGTAACTCTGCCTGTTTGGGTCTTGCTGAGAAAAGTGGCTGTATGTAAAGAAGCGTTTTCTTCTTTGGAGAGAAGGAACTCAGTCACCTACAAAAGCAAATTATTAGAGGAATATCATGTCTTCCATTTTGTAATAGGGTACTTTTAGTGAAGAGGATTTCACTAAAAATGTCAATAGCCTGCCTATACAAACTCATAAAAATACTGCTTAATAATAAAACTTTTTATAGTCATTCATAAAGATTTCACTTGTAATTCGTCCCTTCCTATTGCCGGTCATCGGTCTATCAAGGTAGCACTTCAGATCAATGATTGTACAACCTGGGAATGTTTCAGCTTTCTACATTCATATCATAGGTGATACTAAACAAGTGAGAAGAAAATATTTATGTATTTTTTCCAAAATAAAAGCAAAGATGTGTTTGTTTTTAATAGAACTATTTATAGTTTCCAAGATGGCTGCTCTGTTTTGGGTAACTTCTTTTTTTATATGTAAAACACTAATATAATGAAGCTCCTAATGATTGTGAAAACTATTTAAGCTTTATTCTGTGTATGATATATCCTAGATGCAATAATCTCTGCTTAGAATTAATATCTGTGTGGAAAATTGGTTTTCTTTGAAATAAGTGTAATGGGAGGGGAAGGTTTTTTAGCTTTGTAATATATTATTGTTACTATAGAGCTATATTTTTTCAGTAAAGTGCACAGTTTTTATAAAAATACCAGAAGGAGTTTATGCAGTCTTTCTGCATGGGTGATGAGGTTACTTTCTCTGATTTGTGGAGATTTGTTTTGTTTTTAATACCATCCTATTCTGAGTGGAGTAACAACTTCACAGAGCCACGAATGGCAACTGAGTATTTCAGTTAGATGAACTGAGATCTCGTTTTTGCCCTTGGCTTCACTGCTTGGTCAGTTGGTAACTGGGTATGATTCCTTGCTTTGGGGGTGGTGGGGCTGATTTACAAAGATAACTCAGCTAACACACAACACAGTCTGGAAGCACATGGTGCGAATACTTCCTTCTCTTGGCAACTTGGTCCTTTCATGAAAACAACCAAGACATTATAATGCTAGAGCAAGCTTTTGTTCCATTTTAGAACCTTGGCGGATGCTCTTGGCTTTCAGAGTTCTGAATGGGCATATAGCTATTTCTCCTCTAAGGAATCAAGATGCTGATTATACTTGATGAAAAATGTCTTGGGGAGATTTGTGATCCATCCATAGCGAGCCAGGACGGAGAGAAGATTTTGAACAGTCTGCCTCTTCTCTACCAGATTGGAGTGAAGTGTGAAATTGCTGCAGTTGAGCTGGGTTTCAGGTAGAGGATGTAGCTTGGTAAAGATGCTAGTACTACAACTTTATACATCCTATGCAATCAGTTGAAGGATCATGCAAACTGCTGCTTCAGGACAATGACATATGAGATCATGCTGTATATTTTTATCTAAGTTGTTTACCTGGAAAACCCATGTCAATTCAAAAATTCTTTTAAGGACTTCAGTGGATTTTGGTGGGATCAGATTGTATCAATTGTGTGTGTGTGTGTGTGTGTGTGTGTTTTTGTAGACAGTTGCTTGTACAGCAGGAGCTGTGAATCTTATGTTTAACTTACTTAGCAGGAGCCAAAGGGAAACAGCCTGAGTCATATAAGTCCTGACATAATCTTGATCTTTTCCTAATTTTGCATCCTTTCAGTTGCACCTTTTAAAATCCTGACATGATCTTATGCTTCCATTCGTAGACCTCATGTTACCAGAACTGGCCTGGGCAAGGTTCTGTACCAGGGTTTATCCATAGTTGCATAAGAATTGTTCTCTCTTTTCTGCTCTTGGCAGTACATTCATGCTATGATTTTTATCATGGCCTTATGGGACCGCTAAGATGAACATATGGGTAAAGTTAAGATTATGCCAAGGGTTTTGTTTCAGCAATAACTTCTTTTTTTTTTTTAACTGAGTCAGCTTCGGGAACTACTTTTTGGGGTAGGAGGTGAGGTAGAGTATATAAACACTTTTTCAATTAGTATTGCTTGAAAAATAGGGGTCCCATGTCTGCCTTTGGTTGCTTGAATATTTCTTGTATATTTACTTTTGCTTTGCTGTCACTGATTTGATAAAATAAACTGGTACTTTATAAAATTCTGTTCTCTTGTATAATTTAACTCTTCCTATGAATCATGGAGAGATAACACTTCCACCCACCCCATCCTGCTTTTTTTAGGGAAGGCTATAAAACAGCATTTCTCAATCTCGGAGCCTTTAAGATGTGTGGACTTCAATTCCAATGTGTAGTTGTCTGCCTTGAAACTAAAATGATGACTTCTGTGTTCATGGGAAGAAAATAGGAATGCTACTTAGATGGTGAATACAGTTGCTCGAGAGAAACCAGCTTGCTGCAAGCAGTAGAAGTCCCGTCTTTATAACCAGTGAAGACTTGCCTTGTGTTGCAAGTCGTTTACTGCATCTAAGCTGTGCCTGACTTGCTGGTTCTGTCAAAGATAAGTTAACAGGCTTAAAAGTTCTGTTCACAAGTCATGTTAAGCCATTATATGAAATGATTAACTTATTTTATTTATCACATAGTGTTATTTCTGAGCCAGAGTATTATGGTATGTTCAACAAACCGTGACTGAAAGCAGTGTGTGAACCCAGCCACTGGGTTCAGATCCTAAAGTGCCCTTGATAGAGCAGAATGCAGCTTAGTGGTAAAACCCATACTGTGATCTCCCATTAAGGGGTGGGGAAAGACTCCTGTCTGAAACCCAAGAGTGTAGCCACCAGTGAATTCACATGGACCTTTAATTTGAGTATAATGGAGGCTCTTTCAGGGTTGCAATCAAGATAATTAAAGGACTACTTTTAACATGACTTGGTGATGAGTTGTGTGAACAAAAGGTATCTGGAATTGATGGGTATATGTGGTAGATACCATTGTCTGATGTAACTTCTGATGGTCTTGATGCTGTTGGATGTTACCCATTACTGATCCACTCTTGAGTGAAAAGACTAAGAAAAAAAAAAAATTGCAGTTCCACAATCTGCAAAGAGGTAAAGTAGAAGCTGGGGACAAACAATAAGATAGCTGTTGCCTCAATGTCATGCTTGTAGGTGGCCAGTGGAGTTGCTGTAGCAAAAGTCCTACTATATCTTGGTGGGAGGGGTTGGTGCCTTTGAATCAGTGTTGACTCCTGGTGACTGCCTGGACAAATCCCTGCAGTTTTCTTGGCAAGATTTTGGAAGTGGTTTGCCATTGCCTCCTTCCTAGGGTGAAGAGATTGTCCAAATTCTCCCCAGTCTGGGGAAGACCATGAAACAGCAGGATGGTAGTTTGTTGCTTTGTGAAGAAAGCCCTGGATATCATGGATTGCAGTTGGGAGGCTTCAGCAAGCTGAGAGGATACCAACTTCAACTGTCTTGCCACAATCAAAACTTTCCATCTCTGTTGGCTGATTTCTGAACTGTATAAAAGTTAAGAAAACTTCATAGGAAATGCTTAAAACTTTGCAAGAACAAGGGGGCAGAAGGTTCATTTGAATCCTGTCCAGACATAATGCATGCAGACACATATGGTATCTTCTCACTGCATCTTTGGACAATATCATTCTTCCCACATTGCTTTTTGCCCTTGGAAATAACATGGGTTATATTTTAACTGATTATCTTGTTTACTGTCCTGGAAGAAAAGTACCACTCATTGAATATTTAGATATACTTTGAACAGGCCTTCCTCCAAAGGTGGGGCATGGAACAATTGCCTAATTCCTTCCCCCCCTCCTTCCACCATGCATGCTTCACGGAAAAACTTCCTGCTTGTTTAGTCTCCACCACCTAACCATGAGTTGTTATAGTACTGTAGCTTAGTCATTTTTTTATCTTTTAGAACTTGAAGTAGCATAGAACAACTCTACTTGGAAGAAAATCCACAGTGAAATTCTTTTCAGAGCAGAACATAATGCCAGAGACTTGTAGATGCCATCCCTTTATTATTGCTGGCCACTATCCTAAATCAAAGGTCAGCATAATTTAATCCAGAAGTGTTGGTCCCAAGAATCAAGAAAATAGTGCTGTGACGAGGTACCAACATTTTTTGCTCTGTGTTGTTGTATCATAGCAGTCGTGCAGGGTAAGGATTCTGATTTGATCTAGTTGTATTGCATGTTTCCAAGAGCAATCATTCCAACACAACAGGAAGGAGCCAAGTGGGAGAACAGTGTTGGATGTTAGTTTGATGAGGAATGAGGCTCAGAACATCACACTGGTAGCAGGAATTCAAATACCAATTAATGTATGGATATTTTATTTTTCCTGCATAGAGCTTCCACTCTCCCACACATCCCTTAGAAACTCCCTGTGTGGTTGGTAGGCCTGAATGACAACCCACTAAACTGATTTGAGATTTGGAGTCTGGTCTCAGCCTTCCCAGCCTGACTCTTGGTGCTCCAACAAGCCTGCAGGCATCTTGAAGCCCCCCAAATAATCCATTCCCCTCCATTCCTGACCTGTTCACCAAATGGTATGAGCTGTTCCAGTATCTGCTCAAGGTCCATTCTTGTGTTTTGTTCTTTGCTTCTTTGCTAATAATCCTTTCTTCCTCACTGGACGGGCTCAGGAGTGACAGGTGCCTGGACTGATAAGAGAGAGAGAGAGAGAGAGAGAAGCTGTGCAAATCTATGGAGTCAGGAGGTGGAGGGAAAAGTAGATTTCAGTAGCTGGAAATGCAGCCATGATGGGGCAGAGGCTGGAGAAGAGAATCTGGGGCCATGGGGTAGAGCAGGAGAAATAGGAGAGCTAGTTTATGAGTGAGTGGAATATAGAAACTGAATTATGAGGATGGCTGAAAGGGAAAGAAGCAATGGGATTATCAGGAGAGCTAAAAATTAAATTGCTAGTACCATTGAAGGTGATACAAATGGTACAGCAGGAATTGCTTCCAAATAGCACAGAACTACAACCCCAAGGAGTCTCAAACAATATAATAAATGATGAATGTTGGTGGGAATTGTAGTTCTGCAAATATTCAGAGGCTCCCAGGTTTCAGCTACATTATGATGAAAGAAGGGGTTAGAAAAACATATATTTCTTTCCCTACTTTTGCTCTACCTTCTCTTTCATTTTCTCTTTCTCCCCCTTTCAATTGCTTTGTACCACAGGTCTTCTAATTTTCTTTCTATATTTTCCCTTTGGTTTTTTAATTTCTTCTAATGCATTTCTTTGGCTTGGCTTCGCTTGGTTTCTGCCCTACTTTACATCTCCTCTTGCAACTTCTTTTCCTTCCTTCCAGCAAGTATAATAAGATTAAGGGGAATAAAGGGCCATGTATCTGGAATGGGATTAGTTCTGAATAAATAAACAAACATGCATAAGATTGTGCTGTAAGAATGGGAGCAAAAAAGTCTGCACTTCAGGACACATCTCAGTTGAATTAAAATGTCACTTGATAGCTTTAACAAAGCTAAGCTGCTGTCTCTCGGCTTTCCTCTATTCTCCCCTTGAAGGCCCCCTGCAATGTGGGGAATTTACTAACTTACAAAGCTGGAATAAGAATTATTGCTAGGGTTTATTATTTCTTTCAATGTGCATGCAGTTATCCCAAATGCATATTTTTTAAAGAGTTAAATCCCTCAGAGGACTCAGCCAAAATGATTTCTGAGCATTTGAGATTTGTGTAAATTGAAAATGCTGAATATCTACAAAACAGCAGGATGTTTTGCATAGCTTAACACCCACTTAAAGCACTGTTTATGGTAATTAGCATATGAGACTAAATGAGCTAAAGATTCAGGCATATGACAACAAATATCCATTAATTCTCCCTCCATACTGACTGTCATTTTTTCCACCAGTTTTGGGACATGTTTCCCTATACCTCCTCAATTCAATCTTCTAGGAATTCAGGCATGAAAAATTACATGTTGCTGCTTAACCACATTCTTTTCATGTTACCCCTGCCGCACATCTTCCTTTTGCCAACACACGCAGCTTCATGTGTGTAGGAATATGGAATCATTCCTGGAGGTGTGATGTACACTAAGAAGACATGGTCATAGTAATGCAGGAAAAAAAAAAACAGCCAATTCTGAAGTGAAGAACAATCAGCGCAAATTAACCCTCCAACATCAAAAGTTGGAGTTTTATTTATGACTCCTTCATACATATTATAAAAAGAAAAAGAGAAATTGCCTTTTTAAAAGTAGATATTCCTTGCATCACAGTGACTCAGAACCTTTTTGGTTTGCTGCACATGTTTGGAATTTTGAGTGCAGATTGTGGGGATACAGAAGTGGCCAGCATAGTAGCCCTTGTCAGACAGCAAAAGATAGATGGCTGAAGTTCTTCCTTGCAATTCACTCTAGCCTCATAGAGTTTCCTACAGCAAAGTCCCCACCCTAGTTTGACTTTTTTTTCTGGGCAGGTGGCACACTTCAAAACAAGATACTGGAATGTCATCCTTTCCATTTTTATTTTCTAAGAATGCCCAAGGGCACAAAGCATCCTTGGAATGTGGATTACTGCTTTGTTTGACATCTCCAAGACCTCCAGCCCACATGCCTCCTACAACTTCCCTAGTCCCATTTACATGATTTTGGCACCTTTCAGGGCCAAAAGCTCCAAAAAAACATTTCAAGTTCCATACACATATTTTGCAGTTTCAACTACCACACCCAGCCCAAAACTCATAAAAAAGGCTGAAAAATGTTGGTCTCCCCACTGTGATAGCATTAAATAATCTATTTTCATGGGGTATTATTTTTAATTATTTAGATTTAGTTTGCTTTTTTAGGGTCTTGGTTGCACTCTGTACCACCCAGAGACTGTCAGCTCTGGAATGGGTAATAAATATTATAAAATAAATATATACATAAATGAACCAACAATAAATAATCATTCTTTAAATTTACAGCTACCTTTTTAAAAAAAATCAAGTGGGCAGGGTTCTTGGTGAGGAACAAGGCCCATACTTACAAGCACCACATCAAAGACCCCTAGCAAAGTGTATGAAATGGCATATCGATTCCAACCATCCTCCTACAGATTAAGAAGGGAGAGTTTGCTAAATAAGAAGTAGGAAGTGAGATGAAAATGGCAGGATGGGGTTGTTGTATGTCATGGAAAAATTTGAATCTGCTGGGAATATTGCCTTTT